ACCTGGCCCCTCTTGTCTCCACTTGGCCCCTCTTGTCTCCTCTTGGCCCCTCTTGTCTCCTCCTGTCTCCTCCTGGTCTCTCTTGTCTCCACCTGGCCCCTCTTGTCTCCTCTCTTGTCTCCACTTGGCCCCTCTTGTCTCCTCCTGGTCTCTCTTGTCTCCTCTCTTGTCTCCACCTGGCCCCTCTTGTCTCCTCTCTTGTCTCCTCCTGGCCCCTCTTGTCCCCTCAGTGAGTCTGTCTTCGTGATGTGGTCTCAGCTTCTCTGCTGTTCAGGTTTTAGTCTCCAGTCTTTGTCCTGATGGAGCAGCTTCTCTGTGTGAACACCTGGTTTACAGAAGTCTGTTAAAGTGATGTCAGTAAACCAGACAGACTGTGGTCCCTTCTGTGCCCGTGGTCCTGTCCCCTGTCTGATCGTTGTCTTTGCGTTTCAGACCACGTGCGTGGAGAAGGCGGGGAACGACGAGAAGATGTTCATCAAGGTGTTTCGCTGCCTGGGCAGCTGGTTCAACCTGGGAATCCTGGACAGTAACTTCATGGCCAGTAACCAGCTCCTCATGGTCCTCTTCCAAGTCCTGGTGAGCTGCTTTCACACGTGGACCCCATCGGGACGGCCCCGTTCTGTCCGCTGAAGTTTCCTGATGTCCCCCGTCATGTTCTTCTGTCTCCACAGCAGAGGGACGAAACCTCCACCAACCTCCACGAGGCGGTGTCGGACTGCGTCTGCTCGGCGCTCTACGCCATAGAGAACGTGGACACCAACATGGCGCTGGCCCTGCAGCTCTTCCAGGGCGTCCTGACGCTGGAGACGGCCTATCACATGGCCGTGGCCCGAGAGGACCTGGACAAGTGAGGAGACCGGAACCTGCTCCCGATTGTGTGTTGGTGTTGGGTCGGCGCCGTCGCTCACGTCTCTGTTTACCGTTTGTTCCCAGAGTGCTGAACTACTGCAGGATCTTCACCGAGCTCTGCGAGACCTTTTTAGAGACGACGGTCCGGACCCCGGGTCAGGGTATGGGGGACCTGAGGACACTGGAGCTGCTGCTGATCTGTGCAGGACACCCGCAGTACGAGGTAGGTCCAGTACCAGGTCCTCTGTGTCCCGGTCTCTGAGGATGTCTACATAATCCCGGTCTTCACGTTCTGGTCTGTGTTCTGGTCCAGGTTGTGGAGATCTCCTTTAACTTCTGGTACCGTCTCGGAGAACATCTCTATAAAATAAATGACGCCGCTCTTCACGCCGTCTTCAGACCGTACATCCAGAGACTGCTGCACTGCTTGGCCCGGCACTGTCAGCTCGACCCAGACCACGTGAGTCCTCTGCTCCGGTCTACACAGTCCTCCTCGTGATTAATCCAGACCTTCAAAATAAAGTGGGTTTTTTTCCCGACAGGAGGGGATCCCCGAGGACACGGATGACTTTGGGGAGTTCAGGATGAGAGTCTCTGACCTCGTTAAAGACGTCATATTCCTCGTTGGGTCCATGGAGTGCTTCTCTCAGGTAACTGATCCACAAGCGGGCAGGAAAGGGTTCTTACTGCAGGTCTTAGTCCACCGATATGAAAGCAGCTGCTCCTCTTCCTGTTTGTTCTCAGCTGTACTCTACGTTAAAAGAAGGGAACCCTTCCTGGGAGGTGACGGAGGCTGTTCTCTTCATCATGGCTGCAATCGCGAAGAGTGTTGACCCGTAAGTATCTGAAGAGAGTCTCTGGTCCAGGACCAGGTCTGAGATGTGTAGCAGACTGTGACTGTCTCCTCTGGTACCCTTTGTCTTCCAGAGAGAACAACCCCACCCTGTCGGAGGTCTTACAGCAGGTGGTTTTACTCCCAGAGAGCGTCCACATGGCGGTCCGTTACACGAGCATCGAGCTGGTGGGGGAGATGAGCGAGGTCGTGGACAGGAACCCCAGATTCCTCGGTACGAGTTTGAGAAGTCGCAGCGACACAATGCAGGTGGTGGCTCCGCCTCCTTCCTGTTCCTGCTCCAGCTGGTCGAGAGCAGACGGAGCCGGTTAGCCGTTAGCTGCAGTGATCCGGGTCACGGCTCGCTCTGTCTGAGGCTGTTTCAGCGTGGGGCTCAGAGACAGCTGATGCACGAGGACCCAGCATGCATCACACTGTTGTTCTTGTAGTTTCCAGAGAAAGTAGAAGCCTTACTGAGAGTGGCGGCTCAGAATACTGCAGTTCTTTTAGTGGTGCACTCTGAGACCAGGTTCTCAGACAGACTTGCTAACTGTACTGTCTGTACTCTCTGAGGTGGAGCTTTTATTTTGTTAAACCCTGACTCTGTGTTTCCTCTTCCTGTCAGACCCGGTGTTAAACTACCTGATGAAAGGTCTCAGAGAGAAACCTCTGGCGTCGGCAGCAGCGAAGGCGATCCACAACATCTGCTCGGTGTGCAGAGATCACATGGCTCAGCACTTCCAGGGTCTGCTGGACATCGCTCGCGCCCTCGACTCCTTCGCCCTGTCCACCGAGGCCGCCGTGGGACTGCTCAAAGGTAGGACGCCTGTTCTAGCGTTCAGGGGTGCACCTGGCTCCACCTGCTCAACTCCTCAGCTGATACCTGAGCACCGCCGTGGCCTGATGGCCCGTACATTGATTTGTTGGTTGTTGTTTACCTGGACAGGTACGGCTCTGGTGCTGGCTCGTCTTCCCCTGGAGAAGATCGCAGAGTGTCTGAGCGACCTCTGTGCGGTTCAGGTGTTGGCTCTAAAGAAGGTGAGTGGTCTGACATGTGTGACCGCAGCTCTGAATCAAATGATCTTGAAACTACAACCAGAGTTTTCTCTTTCAGCTTCTGACTGAATCTACAAACGGGAAATCAGCTGATCCCACCGTCTGGCTCGACAGGCTGGCTGTTATCTTCAGGTGCGTCTACCTGTGGATTTACCTGTAGCCAAATATTATTCAAACTTGATGTGGATTAGGAAGCAGCAGACAGTGAAGCCTTTTGTTTGTTCTTCCTTCAGGCACACAAACCCCATCGTGGAGAACGGACAGACCCACCCCTGTCAGAAAGTCATCCAGGAGGTAAAACACCTGAGCTCGCCTGACTTTTACCTGGAGCACTCATTTCAATATTCACACACACAAGTATTTCATTAATAAATAGTCATGTGACCTACCTGTAGATCCCATCAGATATGTTGTTGTTAAGTTTTACCTGTGTCACGTGACTTAATGTGTCCTGTATGATTCACCTGTAGAAGTAGTTTATATACCTCGCCTGTAGATGGGATTTGAAGTAGTTTATATACCTCGCCTGTAGATGGGATTTGAAGTAGTTTATATACCTCGCCTGTAGATGGGATTTGAAGTAGTTTATATACCTCGCCTGTAGATGGGATTTGAAGTAGTTTATATACCTCGCCTGTATTCATATACCTCGCCTGTAGATGGGATTTGAAGTAGTTTATATACCTCGCCTGTAGATGGGATTTGAAGTAGTTTATATACCTCGCCTGTAGATGGGATTTGAAGTAGTTTATATACCTCGCCTGTAGATGGGATTTGAAGTAGTTTATATACCTCGCCTGTATTCATATACCTCGCCTGTAGATGGGATTTGAAGTAGTTTATATACCTCGCCTGTAGATGGGATTTGAAGTAGTTTATATATCTCGCCTGTAGATGGGATTTGAAGTAGTTATATACCTCGCCTGTAGATGGGATTTGAAGTAGTTTATATATCTCGCCTGTAGATGGGATTTGAAGTAGTTTATATACCTCGCCTGTAGATGGGATTTGAAGTAGTTTATATACCTCGCCTGTATTCATATACCTCGCCTGTAGATGGGATTTGAAGTAGTTTATATACCTCGCCTGTAGATGGGATTTGAAGTAGTTTATATACCTCGCCTGTAGATGGGATTTGAAGTAGTTTATATACCTCGCCTGTAGATGGGATTTGAAGTAGTTTATATACCTCGCCTGTAGATGGGATTTGAAGTAGTTTATATACCTCGCCTGTAGATGGGATTTGAAGTAGTTTATATACCTCGCCTGTAGATGGGATTTGAAGTAGTTTATATATCTCGCCTGTAGATGGGATTTGAAGTAGTTTATATACCTCGCCTGTAGATGGGATTTGAAGTAGTTTATATATCTCGCCTGTAGATGGGATTTGAAGTAGTTTATATACCTCGCCTGTAGATGGGATTTGAAGTAGTTTATATACCTCGCCTGTAGATGGGATTTGAAGTAGTTTATATATCTCGCCTGTAGATGGGATTTGAAGTAGTTTATATACCTCGCCTGTAGATGGGATTTGAAGTAGTTTATATACCTCGCCTGTAGATGGGATTTGAAGTAGTTTATATACCTCGCCTGTAGATGGGATTTGAAGTAGTTTATATATCTCGCCTGTAGATGGCATTTGAAGTAGTTTATATACCTCGCCTGTAGATGGCATTTGAAGTAGTTTATATACCTCGCCTGTAGATGGCATTTGAAGTAGTTTATATACCTCGCCTGTAGATGGGATTTGAAGTAGTTTATATACCTCGCCTGTAGATGGGATTTGAAGTAGTTTATATACCTCGCCTGTAGATGGGATTTGAAGTAGTTTATATACCTCGCCTGTAGATGGGATTTGAAGTAGTTTATATATCTCGCCTGTAGATGGGATTTGAAGTAGTTATATACCTCGCCTGTAGATGGGATTTGAAGTAGTTTATATACCTCGCCTGTAGATGGGATTTGAAGTAGTTTATATACCTCGCCTGTAGATGGGATTTGAAGTAGTTTATATACCTCGCCTGTAGATGGGATTTGAAGTAGTTTATATACCTCGCCTGTAGATGGGATTTGAAGTAGTTTATATACCTCGCCTGTAGATGGCATTTGAAGTAGTTTATATACCTCGCCTGTAGATGGGATTTGAAGTAGTTTATATACCTCGCCTGTAGATGGGATTTGAAGTAGTTTATATACCTCGCCTGTAGATGGGATTTGAAGTAGTTTATATATCTCGCCTGTAGATGGGATTTGAAGTAGTTTATATACCTCGCCTGTAGATGGGATTTGAAGTAGTTTATATATCTCGCCTGTAGATGGGATTTGAAGTAGTTTATATACCTCGCCTGTAGATGGGATTTGAAGTAGTTTATATACCTCGCCTGTAGATGGGATTTGAAGTAGTTTATATACCTCGCCTGTAGATGGGATTTGAAGTAGTTTATATATCTCGCCTGTAGATGGGATTTGAAGTAGTTTATATACCTCGCCTGTAGATGGGATTTGAAGTAGTTTATATACCTCGCCTGTAGATGGGATTTGAAGTAGTTTATATACCTCGCCTGTAGATGGGATTTGAAGTAGTTTATATACCTCGCCTGTAGATGGGATTTGAAGTAGTTTATATATCTCGCCTGTAGATGGGATTTGAAGTAGTTTATATACCTCGCCTGTAGATGGGATTTGAAGTAGTTTATATACCTCGCCTGTAGATGGGATTTGAAGTAGTTTATATACCTCGCCTGTCTGACTCACCTGTAGATCTGGCCCGTGTTGTCGGAGACCCTGAACACTCATCAGGCTGATAACCGGATTGTGGAGCGATGCTGTCGGTGTCTCAGGTTTGCTGTACGATGTGTCGGGAAAGGCTCCGCCTCCCTCTTGCAGCCGCTCGTCACTCAGGTGAGACACACCTGTACTTTGTTACCTGTGCTGTTTCTGAGGATCCTTCAGCCCGCAGTTTATTTTCCTATTTTTTTAATGAACAGCACTGACTTGATTTTGTGATCAATCAGTGCTGCTAAAGTCTTACCGATCTTTCACGTCTCCTCCATTAGTTCACACCTCCACCTGGAGTTTAAAGAACACACATAATCTTTTGTCTACCTGTTGACTGATCTCCTGATTGGCTGTTTGCTGTCATCAGATGGTGAGTGTGTACCAGGTGTATCCACACTCCTGCTTTCTGTACCTGGGAAGCATCCTGGTGGACGAATATGGCATGGAGGAGGGCTGCAGGCAGGGGCTGCTCGACATGTTACAGGTAAACTCACACCTGTACAACACATAAAATTACCTGTCCGCCAGGGAAACTCGCACCTGTACAACACATAAACTCACCTGTCCGCCAGGGAAACTCGCACCTGTACAACACATAAACTCACCTGTCCGCCAGATAAACTCGCACCTGTACAACACATAAACTGGCCTGTCCGCCAGATAAACTCGCACCTGTACAACACATAAACTGGCCTGTCCGCCGGGGAAACTCGCTCCTGTACAACACATAAACTGGCCTGTCCGCCGGGGAAACTCGCTCCTGTACAACACATAAACTTACCTGTCCGCCAGATAAACTCGCACCTGTACAACACATAAACTGGCCTGTCCGCCAGATAAACTCGCACCTGTACAACACATAAACTCACCTGTCCGCCAGATAAACTCGCACCTGTACAACACATAAACTTACCTGTCCGCCAGATAAACTCGCACCTGTACAACACATAAACTGGCCTGTCCGCCAGATAAACTCGCACCTGTACAACACATAAACTGGCCTGTCCGCCGGGGAAACTCGCACCTGTACAACACATAAACTGGCCTGTCCGCCAGATAAACTCGCACCTGTACAACACATAAACTGGCCTGTCCGCCGGGGAAACTCGCACCTGTACAACACATAAACTGGCCTGTCCGCCGGGGAAACTCGCACCTGTACAACACATAAACTGGCCTGTCCGCCGGATAAACTCGCACCTGTACAACACATAAACTCACCTGTCCGCCAGATAAACTCGCACCTGTACAACACATAAACTGGCCTGTCCGCCAGATAAACTCGCACCTGTACAACACATAAACTGGCCTGTCCGCCGGGGAAACTCGCACCTGTACAACACATAAACTGGCCTGTCCGCCGGATAAACTCGCACCTGTACAACACATAAACTCACCTGTCCGCCAGATAAACTCGCACCTGTACAACACATAAACTCACCTGTCCGCCAGATAAACTCGCACCTGTACAACACATAAACTGGCCTGTCCGCCAGATAAACTCGCACCTGTACAACACATAAACTGGCCTGTCCGCCGGGGAAACTCGCACCTGTACAACACATAAACTGGCCTGTCCGCCAGATAAACTCGCACCTGTACAACACATAAACTGGCCTGTCCGCCGGGGAAACTCGCACCTGTACAACACATAAACTGGCCTGTCCGCCGGGGAAACTCGCACCTGTACAACACATAAACTGGCCTGTCCGCCGGATAAACTCGCACCTGTACAACACATAAACTCACCTGTCCGCCAGATAAACTCGCACCTGTACAACACATAAACTGGCCTGTCCGCCAGATAAACTCGCACCTGTACAACACATAAACTGGCCTGTCCGCCGGGGAAACTCGCACCTGTACAACACATAAACTGGCCTGTCCGCTGGGGAAACTCGCACCTGTACAACACATAAACTGGCCTGTCCGCCAGATAAACTCGCACCTGTACAACACATAAACTGGCCTGTCCGCCGGGGAAACTCGCACCTGTACAACACATAAACTGGCCTGTCCGCCAGATAAACTCGCACCTGTACAACACATAAACTGGCCTGTCCGCCGGGGAAACTCGCACCTGTACAACACATAAACTGGCCTGTCCGCCAGATAAACTCGCACCTGTACAACACATAAACTGGCCTGTCCGCCGGGGAAACTCGCACCTGTACAACACATAAACTGGCCTGTCCGCCAGATAAACTCGCACCTGTACAACACATAAACTGGCCTGTCCGCCAGATAAACTCGCTCCTGTACAACACATAAACTGGCCTGTCCGCCGGGGAAATTCGCACCTGTACAACACATAAACTGGCCTGTCCGCCAGATAAACTCGCACCTGTACAACACATAAAATTACCTGTCCGCCGGGGAAACTCGCGTACAACCTGTTCAGAACGTGCAATACAACCCGTCCCAGTGCAAAGCCAATACTTGATGAAGACGCACAGTTCTGATTAAAAGGAGGGCTGGCTCAGGTGAAACAGACTCTGACAGGTGATGATGATGATGAGCTCCTCCCTCTTCCTCCAGGCTCTGTGTATGCCGACCTTCCAGCTGTTGGAGCAGCCCAACGGTTTGAGGAATCACCCCGACACGGTGGACGACCTGTTCAGACTGGCCACCAGGTGAGTGCAGGTTCATCCGACTTTTTCCTGCTCAGGTGTGATTCAGGACCTGACGTCTCCTCGTCTCCGTTCAGGTTCGTCCAGAGGAGTCCCGTCACTTTACTCAGCAGCAGCATCATCGTTCATCATCCAGTGCGCCATCGCCGCCACCTCATTGGACCACCGGGACGCCAACTGCAGCGTCATGAAGTTTGTCCGAGACCTCATCCACACCGGAGTCGCCAACGACGTGAGTCACAGATTAAACCTGCGCTGACGGGACGATCCGATCGTGACGTCGGCTTTATCAATACAGCCCCAGACCACTGGTCCAATCTGCGGGGTCAACTTTATCGTCAGCTCTACCATAGACGACGCACACAGAGGATCAAAGACAGAAAGAGTCAGTGCAGCAGATCAACAGCCCAGTGTTAAATATTTCCCCAGTGGAAGGATCCGTGGTGTAAAGTTGGATAGCAATCAGTCAGTAGGGCTGAAATCGTATTTTCAAATCACAGCAGGAGCAGAAACTCTTGAAGGCTGAATGTGTGAAGAACATTTGAAATGAAAGTGGTGCTGCAGAGAGTCGTCTTCTACAGACTGAAGAAAAGATCTGTGATCGGTGCGAATCAGTCGCACCAGAACCATTTAAATATGCTTTTCAACACAATAGTATCACAATGTCGGCCAAAATAATGACATTTAGATGTTTTGCAGGGAAACTGTCCTCTGTGTCCTCTAAACGGGACCAGAAGGACTCTGCTCGATAGACAATAATGAAGGTTGGGGGTTTGAACACTCGATGTTAGACTCGCTCGTCTATCACATGTACAGCAGCGCAGGGTGCACGTGTCCTTCAGGAGGACGAGCTGAAGCATTGTGTAAACACGTGAAGTGCAGGGCTGCATTGTGGGTAATGTTTTGAGCAGCGTGAAGCAGAAATATAAACATTTTAGTTTGGCACTGCTCACAATGCTCACTTCGCTTTTGGTCTTATGCCGTCCTCTCTAACGCCGTCGTCTCTGTAACGCTGTCCTCTCTAACGCCGTCCTTCCTAACGCCGTCGTCTCTGTAACGCTGTCCTTTCTAACGCCGTCGTCTCTGTAACGCCGTCCTTTCTAACGCCGTCGTCTCTGTAACGCTGTCCTCTTTGACGCCGTCCTTTCTAACGCTGTCGTCTCTGTAACGCTGTCCTCTTTGACGCCGTCCTTTCTAACGTCGTCGTCTCTGTAACGCTGTCCTCTTTCACGCCGTCCTTTCTAACGTCGTCGTCTTTCACGCCGTCCTTTCTAACGTCGTCGTCTCTGTAACGCTGTCTTCTTTCACGCCGTCCTTTCTAACGTCGTCGTCTTTCACGCCGTCCTTTCTAACGTCGTCGTCTCTGTAACGCTGTCCTCTTTCACGCCGTCCTTTCTAACGTCGTCGTCTCTGTAACGCTGTCCTCTTTCACGGCGTCCTTTCTAACGTCGTCGTCTTTCACGCCGTCCTTTCTAACGCTGTCGTCTCTGTAACGCTGTCCTCTTTCACGCCGTCCTTTCTAACGCTGTCGTCTCTTTCACGCCGTCCTTTCTAACGCTGTCGTCTCTGTAACGCTGTCCTCTTTCACGCCGTCCTTTCTAACGCTGTCGTCTCTGTAACGCTGTCCTCTTTCACGCCGTCCTTTCTAACGCCGTCCATTCTAACGCTGTCCTCTTTCACGCCGTCCTTTCTAACGCTGTCGTCTCTGTAACGCTGTCCTCTTTGACGCCGTCCTTTCTAACGTCGTCCTCTCTCTGACACTTGTCCTCTCTGACGCTCGTCCGTTCTAACACTGTCCCCTCTCTACCGTTGTCCTGTAATGCTCGTCATCCTCTCTGACGTTGTCCTTACTCTAACATCGTCCTCTCTCTGCAGCACGAGGAGGACTTTGAGGTGCGCAAGCAGCTGATTGGTCAGGCCATGGAGCAGCACGGCCAGCAGCTGGTCACTCAGCTGATGCACTCGTGTTGTTTCTGTCTGCCGCCGTACACGCTGCCCGACGTGGCCGAGGTGCTGTGGGAGGTGATGGTGTTCGACAGACCCGTGAGTACCCGAGAGTGCAGCGGTAACACCTGCTCAGGTGTGTCTCCTGACGTCCCTCAGGCTCTGATGTCTTCTGTTTCAGACGTTCTGTCGCTGGTTAGAAAACGCTCTGAAAGGTTTACCCAAGGAGACGTCAGGAGGAGCCGTGACCGTCACTCACAAACAGCTGACTGACTTCCACAAACAGGTCACCAGGTGAGACACCTGCAGCGCACCTGCCACCAGATTCCATTTCAAAGATAGACATTTACATCAGCAGTACAGGGGCCGCTCACAGGGGCCGATGAGACTGCTCCTGCCCTTTTTAGTCGTGCGTCTCCTTGTCTCGTGTTGGCGCCTCACACCTCCTCAAGCAGGAAGTCTTAAATGTGAAGCTGGGGTTAAGTTGCTGCAGCAGAACACCGCAGGGAGGAGAACCCGTTCAGGCAGTGGAACGGCAGGCCCTTTTATTTTAAAGTGCAAAATCCCAATCATGCGAAGGGGGCGGGGCCAGTGACGCAAAGGCAACGCGAAGGAATTCGCGGGAGTTGAATATTTTCAAGCGCTCCAGCTTCGGACAATTAAACACCCGTGGTCGGACTGGATTTTGCTCGCAACTACGCCGTTTGCTCGAGGGAGGAGCTCGGAGTAAACTGCTTTTGTTAAATTAGCTTTTTACTTTAGTTTTTATGATTACAGCGTTGATTTATCTTCACTCGAGCTTCTCAGCAGCTTCCGTGCACATCCGGTTCCAGTGGTGTTGGTGTCGTTTGACGCTACTTCATATTTGTATAAAAACCGGACAAAACTGGACATTGCTGGGAGAAAAGAAAGCGAGGAGGTTGAACTACCTGGTGAGTTCAGAAACATGTGTATGGAACTTTATTCCAGCTATCGTTGAACTTGTGTGTGAACACCGCAGCGAATGTACTCACACGAGGAAAGCGTCGAAAATTCGCGTTTGGTCTGAAAGCACAGTGAATGAAACAGCGTGTAGAGAGAGAAGAACTTAATGAAACCACAGACATGAACCTGCTGGAACTGGATTCATAATATTCTGGTTCCTCCTGCAGGTTGCTGATCAAGTCTCTGGACTGATGTAGATTTAGTTAGAACCAGGAAGTGAAACAGAGTCTGCAGTCTGTACTCAGAAAGGATCAGAGACTCTGAGGACAGGAAGAGCTTCTCTAGTGACACTCTGGATCTGGTGACATCTTTAATGTGCTGATCCAAAGACAGGAACCAGTATCTGGTGTCTGTGTGGACCAGAGTCTTAGGTGGATCAGGATTTAGGAGCAGGAACTGAAGTCCAGGATTTCACAGCAGATAAAAAGCCACAGACGTGCTGATTGGTCGTCTCAGTAGCCTGAGGCGTGTTCAGACTGGCGTGGAACGCAGAGAGTTCACCTGAGCTCTGAGGAACTCACCTGAGTTCACCAGAACCCTAAGTACAGCTGATTCTAGCTGGACCGGTCCAGCCTGAGAGGTTACTATAATCATGTTTACGGTCCTGTGATGTGACTGACTCAGTCTACATCAGTCCACCACCTGGAGGAGGAGCTAGAACATCATGTATTACGTCTATTAATTACAGCAGTTTGATCTTTTAGTGGCTCCTCACACTCTGAGCGCTAAATCACTGTTCAGGTAGAAACACCTCCACCTGCTGCATAATGAGCACAGCGCCACCTGCAGGTAGATCACCTGTATTAATGCTTGTTTCCTGTCCGCAGCGCTGAGGAGTGTAAACAGGTGTGCTGGGCCATCAGAGAGTTCACCAGACTGTTCCGATAGCTGCGACCTTCACACGACACCAGGTAACACTCACCTGTCTGCTCTGACTCACCTGGACACTCAGGTGTTTGACTGTCAGCTCTGACTCCCCTGGACACTCAGGTGTTTGACTGTCCGCTCTGACTCCCCTGGACACTCAGGTGTTTGACTGTCTGCTCTGACTCCCCTGGACACTCAGGTGTTTGACTGTCTGCTCTGACTCCCCTGGACACTCAGGTGTTTGACTGTCCGCTGGACACTCAGGTGTTTGACTGTCTGCTCTGACTCCCCTGGACACTCAGGTGTTTGACTGTCTGCTCTGACTCCCCTGGACACTCAGGTGTTTGACTGTCTGCTCTGACTCCCCTGGACACTCAGGTGTTTGACTGTCCGCTGGACACTCAGGTGTTTGACTGTCCGCTCTGACTCACCTGGACACTCAGGTGTTTGACTGTCAGCTCTGACTCACCTGGACACTCAGGTGTTTGACTGTCCGCTCTGACTCCCCTGGACACTCAGGTGTTTGACTGTCCGCTCTGACTCCCCTGGACACTCAGGTGTTTGACTGTCAGCTCTGACTCACCTGGACACTCAGGTGTTTGACTGTCCGCTCTGACTCCCCTGGACACTCAGGTGTTTGACTGTCTGCTCTGACTCCCCTGGACACTCAGGTGTTTGACTGTCTGCTCTGACTCCCCTGGACACTCAGGTGTTTGACTGTCCGCTGGACACTCAGGTGTTTGACTGTCAGCTCTGACTCACCTGGACACTCAGGTGTTTGACTGTCCGCTCTGACTCCCCTGGACACTCAGGTGTTTGACTGTCCGCTGGACACTCAGGTGTTTGACTGTCAGCTCTGACTCACCTGGACACTCAGGTGTTTGACTGTCCGCTCTGACTCCCCTGGACACTCAGGTGTTTGACTGTCCGCTCTGACTCACCTGGACACTCAGGTGTTTGACTGTCCGCTCTGACTCCCTGGACACTCAGGTGTTTGACTGTCCGCTGGACACTCAGGTGTTTGACTGTCTGCTCTGACTCCCCTGGACACTCAGGTGTTTGACTGTCCGCTCTGACTCCCCTGGACACTCAGGTGTTTGACTGTCCGCTCTGACTCCCCTGGACACTCAGGTGTTTGACTGTCTGCTGGACACTCAGGTGTTTGACTGTCCGCTCTGACTCCCCTGGACACTCAGGTGTTTGACTGTCCGCTGGACACTCAGGTGTTTGACTGTCAGCTCTGACTCACCTGGACACTCAGGTGTTTGACTGTCTGCTCTGACTCCCTGGACACTCAGGTGTTTGACTGTCCGCTCTGACTCCCCTGGACACTCAGGTGTTTGACTGTCTGCTCTGACTCACCTGGACACTCAGGTGTTTGACTGTCCGCTCTGACTCCCCTGGACACTCAGGTGTTTGACTGTCAGCTCTGACTCACCTGGACACTCAGGTGTTTGACTGTCAGCTCTGACTCACCTGGACACTCAGGTGTTTGACTGTCCGCTCTGACTCCCCTGGACACTCAGGTGTTTGACTGTCTGCTCTGACTCCCCTGGACACTCAGGTGTTTGACTGTCCGCTCTGACTCCCCTGGACACTCAGGTGTTTGACTGTCCGCTCTGACTCCCCTGGACACTCAGGTGTTTGACTGTCCGCTCTGACTCCCCTGGACACTCAGGTGTTTGACTGTCAGCTCTGACTCCCTGGACACTCAGGTGTTTGACTGTCCGCTCTGACTCCCCTGGACACTCAGGTGTTTGACTGTCTGCTCTGACTCACCTGGACACTCAGGTGTTTGACTGTCTGCTCTGACTCCCCTGGACACTCAGGTGTTTGACTGTCCGCTGGACACTCAGGTGTTTGACTGTCTGCTCTGACTCCCCTGGACACTCAGGTGTTTGACTGTCCGCTCTGACTCCCCTGGACACTCAGGTGTTTGACTGTCCGCTCTGACTCACCTGGACACTCAGGTGTTTGACTGTCCGCTCTGACTCCCCTGGACACTCAGGTGTTTGACTGTCCGCTGGACACTCAGGTGTTTGACTGTCTGCTCTGACTCCCCTGGACACTCAGGTGTTTGACTGTCCGCTCTGACTCCCCTGGACACTCAGGTGTTTGACTGTCCGCTCTGACTCCCCTGGACACTCAGGTGTTTGACTGTCTGCTGGACACTCAGGTGTTTGACTGTCCGCTCTGACTCACCTGGACACTCAGGTGTTTGACTGTCTGCTGGACACTCAGGTGTTTGACTGTCCGCTCTGACTCCCCTGGACACTCAGGTGTTTGACTGTCTGCTCTGACTCACCTGGACACTCAGGTGTTTGACTGTCTGCTCTGACTCCCCTGGACACTCAGGTGTTTGACTGTCCGCTGGACACTCAGGTGTTTGACTGTCTGCTCTGACTCCCCTGGACACTCAGGTGTTTGACTGTCCGCTCTGACTCCCCTGGACACTCAGGTGTTTGACTGTCCGCTCTGACTCACCTGGACACTCAGGTGTTTGACTGTCCGCTCTGACTCCCCTGGACACTCAGGTGTTTGACTGTCCGCTGGACACTCAGGTGTTTGACTGTCTGCTCTGACTCCCCTGGACACTCAGGTGTTTGACTGTCCGCTCTGACTCCCCTGGACACTCAGGTGTTTGACTGTCCGCTGGACACTCAGGTGTTTGACTGTCTGCTCTGACTCCCCTGGACACTCAGGTGTTTGACTGTCCGCTCTGACTCCCCTGGACACTCAGGTGTTTGACTGTCCGCTCTGACTCCCCTGGACACTCAGGTGTTTGACTGTCCGCTCTGACTCCCCTGGACACTCAGGTGTTTGACTGACTGCTCTGACTCCCCTGGACACTCAGGTGTTTGACTGTCCGCTCTGACTCCCCTGGACACTCAGGTGTTTGACTGGACGGCAGGTAACGCTCTGAGGTCACCCTCCGCTCTTTCTCTCTTTCAGGTTAAATCTTTTGTTGTCCAACATTCAGAGGTGACGGCAAAAAGCTGCGACTGCAGACGAGGATCCAAAGGGACGAGATGAAGATGATGAAGAGGAGGGACTTTGAATGTGAAACAGGACGAATCGCTCTGAAGGACTGACAGAGTGAGGACTTGGACAGACTGAGTCCTCCAACCCGACCCCTAACCTCACCTGACCTCACCTGCAGCAGGTGTCAGGTGGGCGGGGTCGGGTCCAGCAGGTGGGCGGGGTCAGGACTGGGAGGAGTTCACTAAGTGAGCTGATGCGGATCAGTCCTGTTGGATCTTCATCAGTAATCAATCGTAGGACGTGCCTGGTCAACAGTTTTTAAGAGAAGATTTATTTTTGGGACTTTGGTCGTGATGTTTTTTGTCCGTGCCATACAAAGAGCCAAAAAATTTCCCATGATGCTCTTGGCCGAGCGGCTGCCTGTAGAGGCTGAGTGATGGAGGATTTGGCGTCACCTTTGACCTTTTTAACTTTGGTTGAATTTTAGTTGTTTTTCCACAAAGTGAGACAGAGTGAACTCTGGGTAATGAGACGGAGAGACTGACACCATGACATCATTGGTGATGTAGCCTTGTTGTAAACAATAAAAAACAACTGAAACAACAAACATGTCTGCCTCGCTGTTTCGTTCTGGGTGTGTCTGTAGGAGGCGTGCAGGAGAACCAATCAGCTGTCAGCACCTTTCTGAGCACCTGCAGCAGACTCTGACACTGTGGACGTACGGCTCCAGGTGAGCTCCATCTAAAGGTGTCTGAAGTCATCCAGGTCATAGTTATGCAACGAAGGTTAAAGTCAAGGCCAACTGGACTTGGCTGAGCTCTATCTAATGGTGGTCTCCAGCTCCAGGTGAGATCCAGGTGAACCTTGTCTAAAGGTGGTCTCCAGCTCCAGGTGAGATACAGGTGAACCTTGTCTAAAGGTGGTCTCCAGCTCCAGGTGAACCTTGTTTAAAGGTGGTCTCCAGCTCCAGGTGAACCTTGTTTAAAGGTGGTCTCCAGCTCCAGGTGAACCTTGTTTAAAGGTGGTCTCCAGCTCTAGGTGAACCTTGTTTAAAGGTGGTCTCCAGCTCTAGGTGAACCTTGTTTAAAGGTGGTCTCCAGCTCCAGGTGAGATACAGGTGAACCTTGTCTAAAGGTGGTCTCCAGCTCCAGGTGAAACTTGTCTAAAGGTGGGTTCCAGCTCCAGGTGAAACTTGTCTAAAGGTGGGTTCCAGCTCCAGGTGAAACTTGTCTAAAGGTGGTCTCCAGCTCCAGGTGAGATACAGGTGAACCTTGTCCAAAGGTGGGTTCCAGCTCCAGGTGAGATACAGGTGAACCTTGTCTAAAGGTGGGTTCCAGCTCCAGGTGAAACTTGTCTAAAGGTGGTCTCCAGCTCCAGGTGAGATACAAGTGAACCTTGTCCAAAGGTGGGTTCCAGCTCCAGGTGAGATACAGGTGAACCTTGTTTAAAGGTGGTCTCCAGCTCCAGGTGAGATACAGGTGAACCTTGTTTAAAGGTGGTCTCCAGCTCCAGGTGAGATACAGGTGAACCTTGTTTAAAGGTGGTCTCCAGCTCCAGGTGAGATACAGGTGAACCTTGTTTAAAGGTGGTCTCCAGCTCCAGGTGAGATACAGGTGAACCTTGTCTAAAGGTGGTCTCCAGCTCCAGGTGAAACTTGTCTAAAGGTGGGTTCCAGCTCCAGGTGAAACTTGTCTAAAGGTGGGTTCCAGCTCCAGGTGAAACTTGTCTAAAGGTGGTCTCCAGCTCCAGGTGAGATACAGGTGAACCTTGTCCAAAGGTGGGTTCCAGCTCCAGGTGAGATACAGGTGAACCTTGTCTAAAGGTGGGTTCCAGCTCCAGGTGAAACTTGTCTAAAGGTGGTCTCCAGCTCCAGGTGAGATACAAGTGAACCTTGTCCAAAGGTGGGTTCCAGCTCCAGGTGAGATACAGGTGAACCTTGTTTAAAGGTGGTCTCCAGCTCCAGGTGAGATACAGGTGAACCTTGTCTAAAGGTGGTCTCCAGCTCCAGGTGAACCTTGTTTAAAGGTGATCTCCAGCTCCAGGTGAACCTTGTTTAAAGGTGGTCTCCAGCTCCAGGTGAGATACAGGTGAACCTTGTCTGAAGGTGGTCTTCAGCTCCAGGTGAGATACAGGTGAACCTTGTCTAAAGGTGGTCTCCAGCTCCAGGTGAAACTTGTCTAAAGGTGGTCTCCAGCTCCAGGTGAGATACAGGTGAACCTTGTCCAAAGGTGGGTTCCAGCTCCAGGTGAGATACAGGTGAACCTTGTCTAAAGGTGGGTTCCAGCTCCAGGTGAGATACAGGTGAACCTTGTCTAAAGGTGGGTTCCAGCTCCAGGTGAGATACAGGTGAACCTTGTCTAAAGGTGGGTTCCAGCTCCAGGTGAACCTTGTCTAAAGGTGGTCTCCTGCTCCAGGTGAACCTTGTCTAAAGGTGGGTTCCAGCTCCAGGTGAACCTTGTCTAAAGGTGGGTTCCAGCTCCAGGTGAACCTTGTCTAAAGGTGGGTTCCAGCTCCAGGTCAACCTTGTCTAAAGGTGGGTTCCAGCTCCAGGTGAACCTTGTTTAAAGGTGGTCTCCAGCTCCAGGTGAGATACAGGTGAACCTTGTCTAAAGGTGGTCTCCAGCTCCAGGTGAACCTTGTTTAAAGGTGGGCTCCAGGTGAACCTTGTCTAAAGGTGGTCTCCAGCTCCAGGTTAACCTTGTTTAAAGGTGGTCTCCAGCTCCAGGTGAGCTCTATCTAAAGGTGGTCTCCAGCTCCAGGTGAACCTTGTTTAAAGGTGTTCTCCAGCTCCAGGTGAGCTCTATCTAAAGGTGGGTTCCAGCTCCAGGTGAACCTTGTCTAAAGGTGGTCTCCAGCTCCAGGTGAACCTTGTCTAAAGGTGGTCTCCAGCTCCAGGTGAACCTTGTTTAAAGGTGGTCTCCAGCTCCAGGTGAAACTTGTCTAAAGGTGGTCTCCAGCTCCAGGTGAGATACAAGTGAACCTTGTCCAAAGGTGGGTTCCAGCTCCAGGTGAGATACAGGTGAACCTTGTTTAAAGGTGGTCTCCAGCTCCAGGTGAGATACAGGTGAACCTTGTCTAAAGGTGGTCTCCAGCTCCAGGTGAACCTTGTTTAAAGGTGATCTCCAGCTCCAGGTGAACCTTGTTTAAAGGTGGTCTCCAGCTCCAGGTGAGATACAGGTGAACCTTGTCTGAAGGTGGTCTTCAGCTCCAGGTGAGATACAGGTGAACCTTGTCTAAAGGTGGTCTCCAGCTCCAGGTGAAACTTGTCTAAAGGTGGTCTCCAGCTCCAGGTGAGATACAGGTGAACCTTGTCCAAAGGTGGGTTCCAGCTCCAGGTGAGATACAGGTGAACCTTGTCTAAAGGTGGGTTCCAGCTCCAGGTGAGATACAGGTGAACCTTGTCTAAAGGTGGGTTCCAGCTCCAGGTGAGATACAGGTGAACCTTGTCTAAAGGTGGGTTCCAGCTCCAGGTGAACCTTGTCTAAAGGTGGTCTCCTGCTCCAGGTGAACCTTGTCTAAAGGTGGGTTCCAGCTCCAGGTGAACCTTGTCTAAAGGTGGGTTCCAGCTCCAGGTGAACCTTGTCTAAAGGTGGGTTCCAGCTCCAGGTCAACCTTGTCTAAAGGTGGGTTCCAGCTCCAGGTGAACCTTGTCTAAAGGTGGTCTCCAGCTCCAGGTGAGATACAGGTGAACCTTGTCTAAAGGTGGTCTCCAGCTCCAGGTGAACCTTGTTTAAAGGTGGGCTCCAGGTGAACCTTGTCTAAAGGTGGTCTCCAGCTCCAGGTTAACCTTGTTTAAAGGTGGTCTCCAGCTCCAGGTGAGCTCTATCTAAAGGTGGTCTCCAGCTCCAGGTGAACCTTGTTTAAAGGTGTTCTCCAGCTCCAGGTGAGCTCTATCTAAAGGTGGGTTCCAGCTCCAGGTGAACCTTGTCTAAAGGTGGTCTCCAGCTCCAGGTGAACCTTGTCTAAAGGTGGTCTCCAGCTCCAGGTGAACCTTGTCTAAAGGTGGTCTCCAGCTCCAGGTGAACCTTGTTTAAAGGTGGTCTCCAGCTCCAGGTGAACCTTGTTTAAAGGTGGTCTCCAGCTCCAGGTGAGATACAAGTGAACCTTTTCCAAAGGTGGGTTCCAGCTCCAGGTGAGATACAGGTGAACCTTGTTTAAAGGTGGTCTCCAGCTCCAGGTGAGATACAGGTGAACCTTGTCTAAAGGTGGTCTCCAGCTCCAGGTGAACCTTGTTTAAAGGTGGTCTCCAGCTCCAGGTGAACCTTGTTTAAAGGTGGTCTCCAGCTCCAGGTGAGATACAGGTGAACCTTGTCTGAAGGTGGTCTTCAGCTCCAGGTGAGATACAGGTGAACCTTGTCCAAAGGTGGGTTCCAGCTCCAGGTGAGATACAGGTGAACCTTGTCTAAAGGTGGGTTCCAGCTCCAGGTGAACCTTGTCTAAAGGTGGGTTCCAGCTCCAGGTGAGATACAGGTGAACCTTGTCTAAAGGTGGGTTCCAGCTCCAGGTGAACCTTGTCTAAAGGTGGGTTCCAGCTCCAGGTGAACCTTGTCTAAAGGTGGGTTCCAGCTCCAGGTGAACCTTGTTTAAAGGTGGTCTCCAGCTCCAGGTGAGATACAGGTGAACCTTGTTTAAAGGTGGTCTCCAGCTCCAGGTGAACCTTGTCTAAAGGTGGTCTCCAGCTCCAGGTGAGATACAGGTGAACCTTGTCTAAAGGTGGTCTCCAGCTCCAGGTGAACCTTGTTTAAAGGTGGTCTCCAGCTCCAGGTGAGCTCTATCTAAAGGTGGTCTCCAGCTCCAGGTGAACCTTGTTTAAAGGTGTTCTCCAGCTCCAGGTGAGCTCTATCTAAAGGTGGGTTCCAGCTCCAGGTGAACCTTGTCTAAAGGTGGTCTCCAGCTCCAGGTGAACCTTGTCTAAAGGTGGTCTCCAGCTCCAGGTGAACCTTGTTTAAAGGTGGTCTCCAGCTCCAGGTGAACCTTGTTTAAAGGTGGTCTCCAGCTCCAGGTGAGATACAGGTGAACCTTGTTTAAAGGTGGTCTCCAGCTCCAGGTGAACCTTGTTTAAAGGTGGTCTCCAGCTCCAGGTGAACCTTGTCTAAAGGTGGTCTCCAGCTCCAGGTGAGCTCCAGGTGAACCTTGTCTAAAGGTGGTCTCCAGCTCCAGGTGAGATACAGGTGAACCTTGTTTAAAGGTGGTCTCCAGCTCCAGGTGAACCTTGTTTAAAGGTGGTCTCCAGCTCCAGGTGAACCTTGTTTAAAGGTGGTCTCCAGCTCCAGGTGAGCTCCAGGTGAACCTTGTTTAAAGGTGGTCTCCAGCTCCAGGTGAACCTTGTTTAAAGGTGGTCTCCAGCTCCAGGTGAGCTCTATCTAAAGGTGGGTTCCAGCTCCAGGTGAACCTTGTTTAAAGGTGGTCTCCAGCTCCGGGTGAACCTTGTTTAAAGGTGGTCTCCAGCTCCAGGTGAGCTCTATCTAAAGGTGGGTTCCAGCTCCAGGTGAACCTTGTTTAAAGGTGGTCTCCAGCTCCAGGTGAGGTCCAGGTGAGCTCTCTCACTGAGCCTAAGAGCTCAAACAGAAACTAACACACATTCATTCACTGGCGGAACAGCCGCCA